GAGAGGAGGTCTCGCCAAGTTGCCCAGGAGGGTCTCGAACCTGCGGGCTCAGGCAATCCACTCACCTCAGCCTCCCAAAGAGCGGGATTACAGGCTGAGCCACCGAGCTCGGCTGCTTCTGTGATTTCTAACTCATCATTTAGTTTTACTACTATTTACTACAAAACTCTGACCTCAAAAACAATTTTTTTTTTTGTATTTTTTTGAGGTGGAGTCTCACTCAGTCGCCCAGGCTGGAGTGCAGTGGCACACTCCCGGCCACCGCGGCCTTGACCTGCTGGACTCAGGTGATCCTTCTGCCTCAGCCTTCCAAGTTGCTGGAACCACAGATGAGCACCACTATGACCAGCTAATTTTTTGATTTATTGTAGAGATGAGGTCTCGCCAAGTTGCCCAGGTGGGTCTCAAACCCTTGGGCTCAGGCAATCCTCTTGCCTCATCCTCCCAAAATGCTGGGATTACAGGCATGAGCCACCATTCCCGGCTATATGTTTTCTTTGAGTGGTCTCAGTTTTTAAGCACAGGCTGGAGTACAGTGGTATGATCACAGCTCACCACAGCCTCGACCTTCCAGGTTCAGGCAATCCTCCCTCCACAGTCTCCTGAGTAACTGGGACTACAGGTGCGCCACCACCCCTGGCTAATTTTTTGTAGAGATGAGGTCTTGCTATGTTGCCCAGGCTGGTCTGGAACTCCTGGGCATAAGCAATCCTCCTGCTTCAGCCCCCAAAATGCTGGGATGCCAGGTGTGAGTAACCATGCCCGGCCACCCTTCCCTAACTGTATGCAGCGGATACGTAGTGCTGATTTCTTGGTGCCCATTTGTGAGAAACATAGTTTCTACCATGATATGGTCTTCAAATCCTCTTTCTTTCTTTCTTTTTTTTTTTGAGTTGGAGTCTCTGTCACCCAGGCTGGAGTACAGTGGCACACTCACAGCCACTCCAGCCTCGACCTCCTGGGCTCTGGTGATCCTTCTGCCTCAGCTCTCCAAGTAGCTAGAACTACAGGTGTGCACTACCATGTCCAGCTAATTTTTTGATTTATTGTAGAGATGAGGCCCCGTTAAGTTCCCCTGGCTGGTTTTGAACTTGCCCGTGGGCTCAGGCAATCCACTTGCCTCAGCCTCCCAAGCTGCTGGGATGATAGGAGTCTGGCCTAAATTGTCTTAGTGTACTTAGCAAAGTGTTATCATGCTTATTGATTTTAGAGTTACTAATCAGACCCCTCCTGAGAAGTAAACCGGGAGCATTAGATATGAACAACACATCCGTCATTCACTGCACATGGGACCTTGAAAGATATCTAAGATTGGGCACAGTGGCTCACACCTGTGATCCCTGGACTTTGGGAGGCCAAGGTGAAAGGATTGCCTGAGCCCACGGGTTTGAGATCAGCCTGGGCAACTTGACCTCATCTCCACAATAAATCAAAAAATTAGTTGGGCGTGGTAAGTGCACACCCGCAGTTCCAGCTACTTGGAAGGCTGAGGTGGAAGGATGGCCTGAGCCCACCAGGTTGAGGCTGCAGTGGTCATGAGTGTGCCATTGCACTCTAGCCTGGGTGACAGAGTGAGACCCTGACAAAAAAGATGGAAGGAAGGAAGGAAGGAGGGAAGGAAGGAAGGAAAAGAAAAAAGGAAAGAAAGAAAGGGAAAGGATTTTTCCAAAATGTCTGTATCACTTACCATTTTCTCCAGCGATTCATGAGTATTCCAGTGCGTCCTTGCCAGAATGTGGTATTGTCACATATTGTCAATTAAAAAAATTTTTGAGCCTTTCTAATAGGCATGCAAAGATAGTACAGAATGCAATGTCTCAAGACTGTCATACCAGAATTTTGGGAGGCTGAGGCAGGAGGATTGCTTGAGTTTAGGAGTTTGAGACCAACCTGGGCGATATAATGAGGCCTCATCTCTACAAAAAATAAATGAGCAGGGTGTGGTGGTGCGCACCTGTAGTCCCAGCTACTCAGGAGACTGAGGCAGGAGGATTGCCTAAACCCATGAGATCAAGGTTATGGTGAGCTACTGAACTCCAACTGGGGTAACAGCAAGCATCCCACTCAAAAAAAAAAAAGTACACTATGGTTCTAATTTGCATTTCTGTAATGACTAATGATATTGACCATTTTTTAATGGGCTTATTGGCCATGCATATGTCATCTTGGGTGAAGTTTCCATTCCAGTATTTTGCCCCCCCCTTTTTTTTCTTTTTTGAGTCAGAGTCTCACTCTGTCACCCAGGCTGGAGTGCAGTGGCACACTCATGGCCACTGCAGCCTTGACCTGCTGGACTCAGGTGATCCTTCCACCTCAGCCTTCCAAGTAGCTGGAATGACAGGCATGCACCACCACGCCCAGATAATTTTTATTTATTTATTGTAGAGACGAGGTCTCACCAAGTAGTCCAGGCTGGACTCGAACCCCTGGACTCAGGCAGTCCTCTTACCTCTGCCTCCTAAAGTGCTGGGAATTCAGGTTTGAGCCACTGCTCTCAGTCTTGCCCGCTATTTTAATTGGCTTGTTTGTTTTCTTATGATTCCGTTTTGAGCGTTCTTTACATATTCTGGATATGGGTCATTTATTGGATATGTGTTTTGCAGAGACTTGCTCCCGTCTTTAGCTAGTCTTTTTATTTTCTTAACAGTGTCTTCCAAAAAATAGAAGTTTTACATTTTGATGAAGCCCGATATATCAATATTGTCATTTATGGATTATGATGTTTTCTCTCTAAAAGATTAGCCTGATTCAAAATCTCAAGGATTTTCTAAGGATGTTGAACT